ACGAAGGCCGTAATACATTCTTACGACAAAGATGGGCCACACTTCACTCTTAGTTTTCTTATACAGCGCCCATCAATTACTAAATAAGTAACTATCTTATAGCCGCTTACAAGCATCGAAGACAGATTTGACTGCGTGTTTGACTGCTTATCAAGTCCTAAATGGACGTGATCACCACTGCCCATTGATATAATCTCTGTCGCGTTCTTTGCGTCCGCACGCAACGTTCGTTCGTATGAGGGGTAGTCCGGGCATACACTTCTCCAAATCTTCAAAAGACTAGTAAGGTGAATTAGAGGCATATGTATGTTTATTGCCAACGATCGTAGGTCATTTCGCAAGATCGGCTTCTCCTCAGTTAGGGGTGAACTTGACGGTTCGCCGCGTCCACTGCCGGACATCACAGCCCTCCCGTACGAAGTTCGGGAAGAAAACTCGGATTCACACGAAGTTGAAGAGCAGTTGAGATAATATTCCTACGAACATGCGTCAGACGCAAACAGTTCCTCCAAATTCTCAGTAAATGTGTCCCAGTTTTCTATAACATCTTGCTTTACGCACGTCTGGAGCATTTTCTTCGACAAAGGCTTGACCTTGCTGGAAAAAAGGCAGTAAAAAAGCAATGTACAGTGTAAACGGGCAGAGTAACTTCGCAACGATTATGCGTCAGTCTGGCAAAGTGACAGCGCAAGTAATGACGTGGGATAACGTGCCCGCGCAACTCAGCACAACATCCGATCGATTTTCCAATAGTGGTGCGCGCACGCATTTGCGCCTTTAGTAACGCGTCTGTGGCGGAAGATGGTAACCAAGCGAATTCCGCCAACAAATTGGTTGACGAGGTTTGAGACTATTTGGATTTAATGCTATTATGATCAATGTAGGAACCTTAAACCAAATGAGACCATCTGCTGCCGGCGGAATCATAATACTCTGGAGGACAGAAGGAGCAACTATCAAGGTGGTGGGATAGGAGGAGCCTACCACATTCGAGCACGGTCCAGTTAGACCTCAAGCGACAAGGGGCCATTAAAGACTGCGAGGAGAAGAGTTTCACAACAGTCTTCTCACTTTGAAGATCCTGGAGACCTTGACCAAGGATAAGCTGGTGCATCACCTAACAGAGAATATCATACTGTGTGCGATTCAGCATGGGCTGCTCTAAATAAATATTGTGACACCTGCCAGCTCACTCTATGTTTTATAAATGGTTTTGCATGGAACTTTTTCATGGAACTTTCGAATTTCGTCAAGCTTTTGTAATTAATATCTTCCTGTTTGTGCGTTCGAACGCAATTAATTAAAATTTACAATGTTATCTCCAAATCCAACAGGTGTGAGGGTTGCACTTATTCAGGGTAGTGCACTTAGCCTTCTCTTACGTTGCCTTTTTGGCACTGATATTCCTGATCCAGTTGAAATTGGCGGATCCTTTATTTATGCTAACATGCAAAAAGTTGCCTATCTAAATAAACCGGCGGATAGCAACATCGTGCTCGAACTCTCAAAAGAAGATATTCGGTCCTTTACTCATTGGGCTGCACATAGCATTGTTCCCTTTCTTCGCACGACTGCTCCGTTCTATTCGTTGGCAACGATCGTCAGCCTCAATAAGGCATAGACGGTTACAACGTAAATATATCCGGCGGTATTACGAATCTGGGCCTATCGTCAGTTACTTACAGTAAACGTTATTTAATCTTGAATAAGCAACCCAGGCCATCAAAATTCCTTAAAGCTGTCCTTTTTCAAGAGAA